CTAAAATGTATTCACTCATAAATGTTAATTCAATGAGTGTGCGTATTTACCACCAGAATGAGTTCACGGAAATATTGCCACATTTTCAAATATGAACTCACTATTTGGCAAATCATTTGTGTGGTCCCTGTAGATAGGATTGAGTCTGCAGCTTATTTAATAGGAACGTGACCATACAAAGGCAATGTGGATAATTCACACGTTGTGGAAATGGTAATTTCTTGGCAGACATGCCCGAAGCCATTATGCCCCATGGCTTAATTCTGAATACCCGTCTGCGTCTGTTTCCTATTTCTCCTCTTTCTTTCCCCCCTCTCAATCCACAATTCTCACAGAGACCTTAACGTTCTTGTCTATCAATAGCATGATTTTATTCGGCCACGAGGGTTCATGTCTAACCACACAAGCAGTTAAAATGTCTATTATCACTTCACTTCTAACTCTGAAGCCAAATGCCTGTTTCATATTCATGGTTTGATCTTCCAGTAATGTTGAGCTGTAGGAGTGCACTATTTTACCATTTAGGGATGCAACTGCAAAGCCCCAGTGAAGCACAGACGATTCATCTTGTGCTTTTAATGCCATTATTGATATTGATTCAGAGAGGTTGGTGTGACCTTGACATTTGCTTTGCAGGCTTTTAGAAGGATGTAAAACAGACATTGTTTTGATTTATATCGCCATAACATATCAAGTCAGTTTGTTCTTAGGGTTGATGGATATCAGATTGACGACATGGACATGTAGCAGACAGCTTCTAATAAAATCACTTTACTAATATGCCATATGGTCTGTGCTTTCAATTGCACTTTCAATTATAGGAGAGAAAACGTCTCGGTTACATATGGTAACCCTTGTTCCCCGAGTAGGGAACAGAGACGTAAGTCAGAAGTGATTCTGACGAATGGGGATCGCTTGCGAGAACCTATCTACTTCGAGTGAAATAAAGCGAGCCAATGCACATTGGCATGCGATAATTGCATCAGCTGCTGTGCATCGCGGCGCGAGCATATAACAAGCAGCAGGTGCGTTCGCATCTTTGTTTTTCCGCTGAGGAGCCGGACCTGTGACTCGGCCGTAGCGGAAGCTCAGCAACTGTGGCGAGGGGACTCACGTCTCCGTTCCCTACTCGGGGAACGAGGGTTACCATACGTAACCGAGACGTTCCCCTTCGTCAGATCACTACAACGTGAGTCAGAAGTGATTCTTACGAATGGGGATATCTACCAAAACGCCACGGCTGCTGGCCCTTCCAGCGCTCCGCTTGAGCCTCCTGGCCTGACCGAGTGTTGGGCAGAAGTAGGAGCTCAAAGCAGAGAAGGTCAGTCAATGGAAGCTTTAGCTTAAGTTCTGTCAGGAGGACTCAATCAGCGCGCCATGTATTACCTCATCCCTATCTAATCAGGTGTTAACAGTCACAGTATATAAGATTGGTACTTACACTTGTCTGAGTTTGCAGATGCTGACAATGCCATTCATGCTCTCGTTCAGTCGCCAGCCAACATGTTTCAGGACACGCATAGGCCTACTGTTTACTATTATTGAGTTCCGACGATGGATATGTCCCGTCGTATCTCCTGCTACACGTCGAGGTTCCCGCGTTCAGTGCCCCATCTCCCCGTAGGCACAGTGGTCTTCGGAGAGTTTTTTTTATCAGCCAAGGCCTCTCATGAGAAGTTCTGCTCCTCTAGGCCTAAAACACCCCGGGTAACCAATCAGTTTCCATTTCACGTCATCAAAAGCCTCAACAGCGTCAGCTCAGACAGGATAATCCGGCAGGAAGAGAACTATGTCATCCTCAACAACTTGTCCAGGAAAATAACCTCGCTGTCTGCACGGGTGCATTATCCCGCAGATCACGATCCACCGCCATGAATCAACAACTCTGCAAGTCCAAGAGGCGATCTTCTCTCGCTGGTTCAAGTTCAAGCTCCACTTCCAAGGCTTTCAAGTCGGTTTTTCAAGTTTTGGTAGGCGCTTCCATCAGCCACTGTTAATATGTCCCCTCTTTCATGATTAAACTTCATCCAGGTAAGTATTTCTCCGTTGCTTCCCACACCAGCGGCAGAGTTCAAATTGGAGTCCACGGTGACGTGGCGTACGTGTTCATAATTACTACTGTTTTGCAGACTGCAACGGGGCGGTTAGCTCGCCTTAAAGGGGAAATGTCATAGCAAGTGTAAGCAAGTTTCGCGTCACCGATATTCCACAGTACTAATCTAATAATATCAGCATTGTCGATACTACGCTCTCGTGGGCAGTTTGCAAATACCCACTAACAACTGAGTAACTGATTTAAAAATAAATAAATATATAAATAAACCTGAGTTAAGGAGAGCAAGTTGTTCATTTGGCTGTTATGCATACTGTAGTGGATATCTCTACAATGGCTAGTTAATTACGTATTTACATAAGTGTTGGAATTTCATAAACAACTATTTTCAACATATTTAGGCCTACTTTAAATTCATATTATAAGTCCATTCACGAAAATTAGATCTACAATATTGGAAATGTGTACAATCGCTGTAATATTCAACCTTTCCTGGTGACTACTTAATCCACTGATATGCGTGATAGAAATATTTTATGTGATGGGTATTTCCACATTAATGTACAGAAAAATGCAGACTAAGGATGCTCCTGTCAAAGGCCACACATCCTTAGCAAAAACTGTTAACTCAGTAGAACTAACAGTCATATTAGTTTTATCAAGTCAAACCAATCAACAGAACTAATCAGTAAAGGAGACTTGAGTGGCATTGTCTTTGCTCAACTGTATGATTTACACATTCATGTATCTTTCTATTCAAGAGTCTCAACTCTTGTTGTGGCCAGCGATGAATGGGGCTATTTCTGCAAAGAGCAACTCGGGAGCCATATGTCAGGCATATGCTCCGCATCTGAGAAAAGGATTCTACGCTCAAAAGACAACAGATCAAGTATTATTTAGATAATGATAGTAGCTTCTTGACAGGACGCCGTCACCTTACTTCAGGTAAGTACCGTAGTAAGAAGTCAGATTTAGTCGGTTTAAGAATTTCTAAAAAAAAAAAAAAAAAACACTTGACAAGGGTGCATGTCCAATCTCAGATTCGGATATCTAGATCAGTAAAGGCTAGATGAATCTTTTAAGCTTACTCAAGGTTCGTTTCGTCCGCTCTTCACAAAATCATCCTATAGCGGTCGTTAGCGTCCTTAGGGATTTGACGTGGTCGCAAAATATATTATATCGTTGTGCTAACAAAGCATGGTTGTCATCAAGGCAGATCTTATTGTTAGGCGATCATGCCATTCCTGAGACGTTAATTCGGCTATCAGTCGTCTTCAATTTCATAATTAAGGTTGTGCTTATTCCTGCCAATGCAAAGCCATAGCTACGCACTTTCATTCTTTGTTACAGGCTTTCAGACGGCTTTTGCCGTTCAGCAACCCGGATCCATCACCCTGCCCTCCTCTAACAGAGTTTATGTTAAATTAGTAATGTTTTGCTTTTCTTTTCAGATTCCTGTTTTCACATCCTGATCACGGGCGATTGTTCCTTCCTCGTCTACAATTACGAAATCGTAATTTAATATTTCTTCCATTCATAGTTTGCTCGCAGGCATTCAAATTCACGCAAGTATTTTAATACTAATTATCCAAGTCTGTTCACCATACCTTCTCTTTGTTTGCTACTTAAGGCATAGCCAAGACCTGTAGTAAACCTCCGATAAACGCCTGCCAATCTCATTGTATCACAAAGATAAAAATGTGTATAATTGTGCCCCTTTTCGCAGGATATGTGGTGGGTCTCTGGTGTGTATGCGGGGTTTGGCTCGGAATGCCCCACAGATAATTTTGAATAGCATGTTGGAATGGTCATTCGAAGGTGATTAAGCATATCGTTTTGTCTATCCCTTTGGATGTGGCAGGGTTGCTATTCCCGGCACAGGGGTCGGAGTTTCAACAGCTCGTTTTGCAGCCTTGATTACCTCTCACCAACAATTTTAAACTTTTCGCTTTGTTCAACCAGGATCATTCAAGATGGAGAGACTCAAGAAGTGTCAACATATAGACAACATTCCGGATGGTCGTTGATGAATTATGTAGCTATCTCTAGTCACTAATTAGCTTATTCTGTCTCGATTTTCTTTAAATCATGTCGCGTGGGCAGGATTCATGTAAATTTACGTTGTGATGCACTAACCCAGGAGGAATTTCGTTAGCTCCTCTCAGCGCTGTTGTAGTCTTTAAAAAGCAATTCTTAAATGAATTTCTCCCATTGCTTGAACTTCGAGTGTTGTAACCTTGAAGATGTTGGTTATGCTTATACGGCAACATTTCACACTAAGTAAGTTAGAAAAGCAAAATCCATCCAACTTCCTTCTATTACTTCCTGTCTGCAATGGTCTCTTTTCTATTGGTATTCAGATTGAAGCTGTCTGTTACAGCGTCATGGCTCATGCATCCAGGGGATTCACTCCAGGAGCTAAATACTCCGATTTCCCCATGGTCTTTTCTGTTTGCGTTTCTCACCTAATTTCTTTACTCCCTTTCTTAAGAACTCTAAGAATGACTCTCAAGGCTCTGTTTCTATTATGTTACTCATAATATCTTCATATAAACAATTCTATATTCGCACACAGAGCACACTCACACGCAGGTTTTGGTTCACTCACTTCTTCTTGAACTACTTTATTTTATCCGAGAACTCCGTCAATTACAGAACACTAATGCACCCTAGTGGTCACTCTTCATATAGCACAACATTTAGTTATAACATTTCCTCCCCACTAAGATACGGTGTCCATTAACATAAAATATACTGTCTTAAACATAACCTAAATTACACACTTTTCAGTGCACAACATAAGAGATACGTTTGTAAATTTTTTATTTTATTTTTATTTTATATATATCAAAACAAAACTGAGGAGTTATCTAACTTTGGTTATAACTTTTATGTTGAACTCCCACAACTCAAACTGTGCTACAACCTTCTGTTAACTAATCACCGTTCACTCATCACGGTAACGTGCTGGTGGTCTTGTGATCCTCACAGGATAGCGTTTCACAGTCTCTGTTGCCTGAGTACGTTCCGTAGATGGTGGTTCCGGGAACTGGTGTGTTTCTGATGGCTCGGTGATCTCAGGAACTGGACCATCATTATTTTCTTGCGGAGGTGTATGAAGGTGCGGTGTGGTGCAACTATCACTCTGGGGTAGTAACACCTGTGAGCTTACCGGAAGGTTCACTTCAGTCTGCTGAGGCTCTGAATCCGGGCGTGTCAGCATCTGGTCCACATGGCGTTTCCATACCCCTGGTGATCCCACATTCACCTTGTACGACACCGGTCCTGTCTTTTCCATCACAACACCTTGCGCCCACTTTTCTTCCCCTTTCCTATAATCCCGCACAAGGACTGACTCCCCAACATCAAACTGTCTGGCCCTAGAGTGACGTTGGCGCCGTTGTTGTTGGGCATCCTGTGACTGGTGTACTGCTCCAGCAACACTGGGTTTCAGGCAATCCAGTCGAGAGCGCAGCCTGCGTCCGAGGAACAACATAGCCGGCGTTTCTTTCGTTGTTGCATGAGGGGTGTTTCGGTATGTCAGAAGAAACGTATCAAGTCTCTGGCGCACACGTGCTGTCCCTTTTGACGCTTTTAAGGCATGTTTGAACGTCTGCACAAACCGTTCGGCCAAACCATTGGTGGCAGGATGGTATGGCGCTGAGCGGATGTGTTTGACTCCATTGGCCTTCAAGAATGCACTGAATTCTTCAGCACAGAACTGAGGTCCGTTGTCACTCACAAGGATGTGTGGACTGCCATAGCGACTAAAAAGGCCCCTGAGCACTTGAATGGTCATGCTGGCAGTGGTGCTGTCCATGATATGCACCTCAGGCCACTTAGAATGGGCATCCACAGGGACCAAGTACATGTGTCCTTCAAATGGACCTGCAAAGTCCACATGTATCCTCTCCCAAGGACTGGAGGGCCACATCCAAGGGTGTAGAGGTGCTAGCCCAGGCTCTTTTTGTACATTCTGACAGGAGTGGCAAGATTTGGCCTGGAGCTCAATTTGAGAGTCTATGCCGGGCCACCAAACATAACTGCGTGCCAAGATCTTCATCCTCACTACACCTGGATGTGCTGAGTGGAGCTCTTCCAGAACCCGGGGGCGCAGTTTAGGTGGCACGACCACTCTCACACGCCACATGAGGCATCCCTGTTGTATTGTGAGATCATGCCGACGCAACAGATAGGGCGACATCTCCTCACCTGTGTCCCTCGCAGCTGGAAAACGATCAGTTGAGACCATTTCTAAGACACGAGACAAGGTTGGGTCAGACGAAGTGTCATATCTGATCTCAGTGCTACTGACTGGTAGTGTGTCTAACTGAGATGTGTAGAACACCTCTACTGCGCCCAGCTTCTCTTTGTGGGTGTAGGAGAGTGGTAACCGTGAAAGTCCATCGGCATTGGCGTGTAATGCACCTTTCCGGTATTGAATGGTATAATCATGCGCTGACAAGAGAAGTGCCCAACGCTGCATTCGGGCTGCAGCCATGGACGGTGTACTTTTCAATGGACTCAGAATGGACGTCAGTGGACGATGGTCAGTGAGTAGGGTGAACTTGTTACCATAGAGGTACTGGTGGAATTTGCGTACTCCAAAAACTATCGCTAACGCCTCCTTCTCGATCTGAGCATAGTTTTGTTCCGCCTTGCTGAGAGTTCGTGATGCAAATGCTATAGGTCTTTCCTCACCATCAGGCATGACGTGCGAGAGCACAGCTCCGACCCCATAAGGCGAAGCATCACATGCGAGGCGGAGGGCCAGCTTAGGATTGTAGTGGGTCAATACTTCCCGTGATACAAGCAGTGCTTTAGATGTCTGAAACGCTGACTCACAGGCTGACGTCCACTGCCATTTCTTCCCTTTATTCAGCAATTCATTCAGTGGTTTCATGACTGTGGCTAAATCGGGAATGAAACGTCCGTAATAGTTTAACATCCCTAGGAACGAACGTAGCTGACTGACATCACCTGGTGCAGGCGCTTCCACAATGGCCCTTACCTTCTCTGGTGACTTGTGGAGTCCAGCTGCGTCAATGATATGGCCCAAGTATTCCACGGACTCCTGGAAAAACAGGCACTTCTCTGACTTGAGATGCAAGCCCTGTACTTCTAGCCTGCCCAGGACTGCATCCAGGGTTTTAAGGTGACTCTGTTCGTCAGGGCCACTGATAAGAATGTCATCCAAGTAACAGTGCGTATAGGGTAGTCCGAGAAGCACTTGGTCCATAGCCTTCTGAAATAAGGCGGGCGATGATGCTACACCAAACGGTAACCGATTAAAACGAAATAGCCCTTTTTGTGTAGAGATAGTCAGCAGCTCCCTAGACTTCTCTTCTACCTCCATCTGTAGATAGGCATTTGATAAGTCTAACTTACTAAAGCGTTGGCCTCCTGCTAGAGAAGCAAAAATGTCCTCAATGCGGGGAATTGGATACTTATCCACACACAGAGCTGGGTTGAGAGTGACCTTGAAATCTCCACACAGTCTCACAGTGCCATCCTTTTTGCTGACAGGCACCACCGGCGTGGCCCAATCACTATGCTCCACTGGTGAGATCACTCCAAGCTCAGTCAGTCGTTTTAGTTCGGCCTCAACTCGAGGTCTAAGAGCATATGGCACATTACGTGGTGGACAGAATTTGGGTACACTGTTAGGTCTAATACTCAACGTGGCCTTAATTCCCTTCATGGTGCCTAGATTTTCAGAGAAAACAGCTGAGTGTCTTTTTAACACCGTCTCCAAGTTGTCTTTCTCTCTTTGCTCAATTGCATGCACAGTCTTTAAGTCTTTCCAGTTCAGTTTAATAACTCTCAGCCACTCTCTACCAAACAGTGCGGGTGCATCCACTTTAACTACATACAAGGGCAAATCAGCACATTGCTTGTTTAACTTTACTTGCACCTTAATGACCCCTTCTGGCGCCAAAGACTCACCAGTGTATGTCTTGAGCATGACATCAGTGGGTTGCAGTGGCAGTTGACCCAGCATGCTTTTGTACTGTTTCCAAGGAATCAACGACACAGCAGCCCCTGTTTCCAATTCCATCTCCATTTTCTTTCCATTTACTACAGGCAGCACTGAGATTCGGGAAAATTTCCCTTTTTTCGACATGGAATACCGTCCCAACTCACAGTCAGTGTCAGATTTAGTTTCCTCACTTTCATTTTCATCTCCTCTTGTATCCACGTGATAAATTCTCTTCTTTCTATCTTTTACACTGCGCTTAATTGCATTACCTTTCTGTTCCGGTTTTTCCACTTTCTGTTTCCATTCTCTGCCTTGGCTGCTTTTGGCTTTGCTCTTACACAAACGCTTAGTGTGGCCTTTCCTCCCACACTGGTGGCAATCACGATCTTTGTACCAGCAGTCCTCATCATTATGGTTAGTTTTCCCGCAACGACGGCATTTTTGGGAAAACACCGCGTTCACTTTAAGCGAGCCACTTAACTGCTGCACGTCGCGCGCTGCTGTCTCTGCAGATACAGCGTAATCGACTGCTTTCTGAAACGTGAGATCTTTCTCCGTCAAAAGGCGCTTCTGCACTGTTTCACTCTTAAGTCCACAAACGAATCTGTCCCTTAGTGCGTCTTCCAAGTAAGCACCAAACTCACAATGTTCCGACAGTTTTTTTAGTACCGCGACATACTGTGCAACTGTTTCCCCGTTCCCCTGATTTCGCTTGTGAAATCGGAATCTCTCCGCAATCACGAGCGGCTTCGGAGCGAAATGAGCCTGCAACACTCTCACAATATCGTCATAACCCATATCTCTAGGCTTGTCGGGAGCAACCAAACTTCGAAGTAGTCCATACGTTTTCGATCCCAGCACACTAAACAGCACAGGCACTTTCTTTGTGACACTAATCTCATTAGCCAAGATATAATGTTCGAAACGTTCAATATACGTTGCCCACTGCTCACCGGCCTCATCAAAGGGATCCATATGTCCAATTATTCCAGCCATGATGTGTCTGCTTCTGGTGGCTTGCACTGTAACGTTAGACTCTTCGGAAGAAGACCGACTCATCACCTCTTCACTGCTAACACTAGCTCACTAGCTCGGTGTTTTTAGCGTGGTTGTTCTTTTTAGTCCAACTTGTCCAACACCGGCTGTTCACTCGCCGATGCAGTGAAAAGTCTTCAGGACTACACAACTCGTCGCCAATTTATATTATGTTACTCATAATATCTTCATATAAACAATTCTATATTCGCACACAGAGCACACTCACACGCAGGTTTTGGTTCACTCACTTCTTCTTGAACTACTTTATTTTATCCGAGAACTCCGTCAATTACAGAACACTAATGCACCCTAGTGGTCACTCTTCATATAGCACAACATTTAGTTACATATATAACAGTTTCACTTATCAATTTATTAATTAGTTATAAATTCTGTCCCTTCTCATCTATGATTAATTTCTTTAAATTCCCCTCCATTTATCCTAACTAACGTAGCACTTCTCTCTAAGCCAGTTCAGGACTCATCAGTTTCTGCCCTCAAAAGCTGCTGTTTACCCCCCTCCCTTTATACCGGTCATTCGTTCCGGATTGGGGCAGCCACCACAGCAGCCGAACGAGGAGTGTCTACATCAGCTATCAAAATAATGGGAAGATGGTCTTCCTCAGCTTTTGAATCCTACATAAGAACTGATTCAAAAATTATCATTGAAGCCCAGCAAGCTCTCCATTAATAATCCAGGTAAATCCTCTCGCAACTACTGGTGGTGGTGGTACTACGTTATCCACTTGAGCGCAGTTCAATTTGCACTATCTGATAAAGCCCCCCTGTACTTGTCTCTGTGTTTGTGTTTTGTCCCGCGGTGTCTCCGCTCGTCTTCTGACTTTATGTGATCCTCCTCGGCCACTAGTTTAGCCGTGGTCTGTGCAGGCTATCATAGCTTTGTTCTTACGGTCCATCGCGGCCTGGTCCGTCTGGTCTAGTGGTCTTGTTTCGTGAATATTGTCTTTCATGTGGCATTAGCGGTCGGTGTGGCTCCTAAGCGGTCTCGTCTCTGTGGTCTTCCATGGCCGTGTGGCCTATCGTGGCCTTGTCCTCTAAGGTCCATCGTGGCCTTGTGACCTCTAGGGGTCTTGGTTTTATGTGGCTCTATGGCCGTGTCTATGATTAGCTCGTTATGTGTGGCATATTGAAGCCTGTCCTATATGTGGCCATCCGTGGTCCATCGCGACCTTCTGTGTGGCTTAGCAGCTCTGTCTTATAGGTTTGTCTTCATGTGGCATTAGCGGCCGGTGTGGCTCCTAAGCGGCCTCGTCTCTGTGGTCTCTCATGGTCGTGTGGCCTACCATGGCCTTTTTCTATATGTGGCTATCAGGGCCTGCGGTCAAGCTGACCTCGTATTTATGTGGTCTATCATGGCCTGTGGTCAAGCTGACCTTGTGTTTATGTGGTCTATCATGGCCTGTGGTCAAGTTGACCTTGTGTTTATGTGGTCTATCTTGGCCTGCGGTCAAGCTGACCCTGCGTTTATGTGGTCTATCACGGCCTGTGGTCAAGCTGACCTTGTGTTTATGTGGTCTATTATGGCCTGTGGTCAGGCTGACCTTGTGTTTATGTGGTCTATCAAGGCCTGCGGTCAAGCTGACCTCGTGTTTATGTGGTCTATCATGGCCTGTGGTCAAGCTGACCTTGTGTTTATGTGGCCTATCATGGCCTGTGGTCAGGCTGACCTTGTGTTTATGTGGTCTATCATGGCCTGTGGTCAAGCTGACCTTGTGTTTATGTAGCCTATCATGGCCTGTGGTCAAGCTGACCTTGTGTTTATGTGGCCTATCATGGCCTGTGGTCAGGCTGACCTTGTGTTTATGCGGTCTATCATGGCCGGTGGTCAAGCTGACCTCGTGTTTATGTGGTCTAGCATGATGGTCCATTGGGCCCGGTTCTATATAAATAAATATAAATATATAAATAAATAATTTCGTAAATAAATATTTATCTTATCTGTATTCTTCTTTCTCGTTTCAGGAACCGCAGGACCCACGACTCGTGGGTATATTTATTTACAGTTCTTTGGGGGTGGGCTCAGTCCTTGTGGAATTATTCTTCCACTTCTCTTTGGGGGTCGGCTGCGCCCCCGCCTTCATCTCAGGCGGGACATGCAGATTCGGCTAACCTCGCTTTGCTCGCTAAGGACGGGGCCTACGCCAAAGAACTCATAAACTTATGCTTGCTGAGCTGTCAATAAATGTATACAGCTTTTCAATTTCTCCCGAGTCTTTCTGGTAGAACTGCTGTTCCGCAAGACCCACTCAGTGTGACTTATTGGATAACACTGGGAAAGCGTGCCCTTGGGGAAGCGAACGCTGCGGAAGCCACATCCTACCCCTGAGGGAGGCACTGTGACGGATACACATATGGACTAGCCAAGCAGGGTAGTACAACATATGGTAGTCTCTGGGGTGGTTCCAGCCTAATTATAGGGGGGAAAGAACACCAGCAGAGACGACAGAGCAGGCTCTATCAAGGGAAAGACACGGGCTCGTCCGCAGAGGAGCTGATCGTGGAGGAATACACATATGGGGTCGCCACAGGGACCACTACATATGGACACCCAGCCAAACACAGGTTCCACAAGCATACAAGTGTAGGCCTGGCGTCAGACGCTCCGCAACGTCTGACTGCCGGAGGGGTGACGGAGGAACTCACAGGATTAGCCATTTCTGGGGAACACTACTGGAGCAAGAAGACGCTTGTTTCCGGCCCATGGGGGCGGGAGTGGCGTTGCAAGCCGACACTAAGAACGGGTCCCTCGCGCTACTGGTCACTGGGGGCAAGTATACGGGAAGATACCGGCTCTACACAGAGGCTATAGAATCTAGCGAACGTGTTAGGTGTTGCCCAACCCGCAGCTCTACATATATCTGTCAGCGAGGCGCCTTGAGCCAGCGCCCAGGAAGAAGCAACACTTCTAGTTGAGTGTGCTCGCAACCCAAACGGGCAAGGCGTGCCTTGGGCTTCGTAAGAGTGCCATAGAGTGCCCCATCTCTGAGAAAGTAGGTCCTTCCTCAGAGGAATGGGCCAAGGTGGTGCTGTTGCGAGGAGCATGAGTTCTGGGAACCAGGTCCGGTTGGGCCAATACGGCGCAACTAACAAGACCTGCTCCTCGTCCTCCCTGAATTTGCACAGTGTCTGTGCGAGAAGGCTCACTCGGGGAAACGCATACTTGCGCAGGCCCCGGGGCCAGCTGTGTGCCAGCGCATCCGTGCCGAGGGTTCCGTCGGACAGGGAGTAAAACAACTGGCAATGGGACGAGTCCGGAGAGGCAAACAGATCTATCTGTGCGGCTCCGAAGAAGTCCCATATCAGCTGGACAGCCGGGGGATGGAGACACCACTCTCCCGGAAGCGTAGGCTGTCGTGAGAGCTCGTCGGCTGCACGATTGAGCAGGCCAGGGATGTGAATGGCACGAAGCGACCTCAGATGCTTCTGACTCCATAGGAGGAGATGGCGGGCGAGTTGCGACATGCGGCGGGAGCATAGACCACCTTGGCGGTTGATGTACGCAACGGTCGCAGTGTTGTCCGTACGGACCAGTACGTGCTTGCCCTGTAGCGGCCCTTTGAGGCGGCCCAGCGCAAGGCGTACTGTGAGCAACTCGAGGCAATTGATGTGCCAATGCAGTTGAGGCCCGTCTACAGACCTGAAAATGCATGCCCGTTGTACGTGGCCCCCCAGCCGGTGGTAGAGGCATCCGTGAAGACCACAGCATGCCTGGACACTTGTTCTAGGGGAACACCTGCCCGTAGAAACGAAGGGTCCGACCACGGGCTGAAGGTTTGGAGGCAGTGCGGGGTGACATGCACCCAGTACGTGCTGCTCAGGCACGCCCATCTCGGGACTCGGCCGTGAAGCCAGTGCTGAAGCGGTCTCATATGAAGCAACCCGAGTGGCGTTACTGCGGCTGCGGATGCCATATGCCCCAGGAGCCTCTGAAAAAGTTTCAGTGGGACCGCTGTTCTGCTCTTGATTGTACTCAAGCAGTTCAACACTGATCGGACGCGCTCCTCTGTGAGTCGCGCTGTCTGGTTGACCAAGTCCAACTCCATACCGAGATAAGAGATCTTCTGCACAGGGGAGAGTTTGCTCTTGTCCCAGTTGACCCGAAGGCCCAACAGGCTGAGGTGACGGAGCACCATGTCCCTGTGTTCTCACAACTGATCCCGAGACTGAGCCAGAATCAGCCAGTCGTCGAGATAGTTGAGAATACGAACACCGCGTTCTCGGAGTGGAACAATGGCTGCCTCCGCGACTTTTGTGTAGACGCGGGGCAACAGGGACAGCCTGAAGGGCAGGACTTTGTACTGATATGCCTGTCCCTCGAACGCAAACTGCAGAAACGGTCTGTGTCGAGGAAGAATCGAGACATGAAAGAACGCGTCCTTCAGGTCGATCGCTGCAAACCAATCTTGGGGATGGATGCACTCGGAAATGCGTTTCTGCGTGAGCATCTTGAACGGGAGCTTGTGCAGGGCCCGATTCAAGGTTCGCAGGTCCAAGATCGGCCGTAACCCACCGCCTTTCTTGGGTACAATGAAGTAGGGGCTGTAGAACCCTGTCCTCATATCGGCTGGAGGAACTGGCTCGATCACGTCCTTCGCCAGTAGGACATCGATCTCTGCCTGCAAGACAGGGGCATCGCAACTCCGCACAGAGGTGAAGTGGATGGCCCTGAACTTGGGAGGGCGCCGGGCGAACTGAATCGCATAGCCGAGTCTGATGGTACGGATGAGCCAGCGAGATGGGCTGGGAAAGCGCCAACCAGGCTCCCAGACACCGTACAAGCGGGACCAACGGGACCACAGAGGCGGACGCAGGGGGGCACCCTCGGCAACGAGCAGACAGAGGCGCCGCCGACGACTGGGTGGAGGCAGCAGCTGGTCGTCGGGGCAGGATGTGCTTAATAGCCTCCGTCTGCTTCTGTGCCGTGGAAAACTGCTGGG